TGCCAACGCAGACGATAGAGACATTTTGCCACTACTATGACTTTTTCTTCATTTCCCTGCCAACAAGCTAAGCTTACTACTGTAGTCTGCTGTGACATAGTTTTAGAAATCAGATACACTGTTAATCTATTGTCATCCATGGGAATTAATTATTGATATGAGCCTTATGTAATGGATTAGTGTACACAACAACAGTAATGCACAGGAAAAGAAAACATAGCGTAACTATTCCAACCTTGCCCAATGAGAATAAAGATTAATTAATTAACAAAAAGATGGATGGATATTAACTATTGTTGTATTGTAAAAATTCATAGCTATGCTCATCTTAAACAAGAACTATTACCGTAAAATCTGTATTAGAAGCCGCATCCCTAATAGAAGTCGCATCCATTATTTTTGAACAATTGAGAACCACAAATTCACATATGTGTAGAAGCTCTAATAGAAGCCGCATCCCCTCTGTTGCATTGTACCATTTTAATAGAAGCCGCAGCTTCTAATACAGATTTTACAGTAGGTAAGGCCAAGATTGCCATGACAACGGAAACTAATGAGATCACAGTATCAGATTTTTCGAAAAAAATATAGTTAATTATTGACTGATTACCTTCTTTCTCATCTTTGTCCCATAAATCCTCTGGCAAGGTTGTATTTACATTGTAGAGTATGATGTATCTAGTTATAATGCCATTAGGAAGGTCTGGAGGTGACCACTGAATCACAACACTGTGTGTACTGTGTTCCTTAACCAACACATTGACAGGTGCAGACCATGGCTCTAAAAAGAAGAGATAAATAAATGATTCTCTGTCCACTGATAGATGTCATGTAATGCGCGAAAGGCGCAGACTGAATGTTTACATAAAAACATAGCAAAACTATTGAAACCTTGCCCACAACACTGTGTGTACTGTGTTCCTTAACCAACACATTGACAGGTGCAGACCATGGCTCTAAAAAGAAGAGATAAATAAATGATTCTCTGTCCACTGATAGATGTCATGTAATGCGCGAAAGGCGCAGACTGAATGTTTACATAAAAACATAGCAAAACTATTGAAACCTTGCCCACAACACTGTCTGTACTGTGTTCCTTAACCAACACATTGACATGTGCAGACCATGGCTCTAAAAAGAAGAGATAAATAAATGATTCTCTGTCCACTGATAGATGTCACGTAATGCGCGAAAGGTGCAGACTGAATGTTTATGTGAGGGCGCTGTTCGTACATCTAGTCTTATTATGCAATTATTTGTTTTATCATTTAAATTTATTCTTGTGGTATGAATCATATTTTTAATATTCTTATCTTGTACAACCTTTTTCATGGCCCAAAAGTAAACTTTTGTCAATTAGCTCCCAAAATCTCACAGAGTCTCACGAGATCTGGCTTCGGCAATTTTTGTTTTTGTTTATGTCAACACTATAGGTTGTAGGTCATTTGGGCTGCAATATTTTTACAAACAACTCGCTGCTAACTTTACGATTGTCAGGTTTTGAGCTACTGATGTAGAGAGGGAAGTATACGGTTACCATAGTAAATAGTTGACACATCAATCTTAACATTTTCTGTCAAGAAAATTTATTTGTTATCATCAGTGATGTTACCGGCTGCATAGGGTGAGTGAAATACATGTACATGTAACTTTTTGACATTTAGATTATTTAATGAAAACTTGAACTGGGAAATCTCCCACCATGTTTTCTGTTATTATTATTGACCTGAAAGAATTATTGTACCTTTAGAATATAATTATTTCCGTATTTCTGTGTAAATTTGATTTTTATGTTTTAGGGTCGATTATGAACTTGGGGGGGGGGGGGGGTTATTGCAGCTACTTTCTTAGTTTTATTCAGTTATATATGTATACATGTATATTATTAATTTATTTTTACTGATATTATTGAATATAATTATTTCTATACATGTCTTCCTACATTAATATTCATTATGTAATATTTTTGTTTATTTATAACATTTGATTCATTTGTATATTCATTATAGGGTTTTTGCTTGGTGCAATAAATAGAACATCTACAGTCATCGTACTGAAGTCACCTATTTTTTTAAATTTATTTATTTATCACCCTCATCGGTCACATTTACATAAAAACATAACAAAACTATTGAAACTTTGCCCACAACACTGTGCGTACTGTGTTCCTTAATCAACACATTGACAGGTGCAGACCATGGCTCTAAAAGGAAGAGATAAATAAATGATTCTCTGTCCACTGATAGATGTCATGTAATGCGTGAAAGGCGCAGATTGAATGTTTACCTAAAAACATAGCAAAACTATTGAAACCTTGCCCACAACACTGTGTGTACTGTGTTCCTTAACCAACACATTGACAGGTGCAGACCATGGCTCTAAAAAGAAGAGATAAATGAATGATTCTCTGTCCACTAATAGATGTCATGTAATTCGTGAAAGGCGCAGACTGAATATTTACATAATAACATAGCAAAACTATTGAAACCTTGCCCACAACACTGTGTGTACTGTGTTCCTTAACCAACACATTGACAGGTGCAGACCATGGCTCTAAAAGGAAGAGAAAAATAAATGATTCTCTATCCACTGATACATGTCATGTAATGCGTGAAAGGCGCAGACTGACTGTTTACCTAAAAACATAGCAAAACTATTGAAACCTTGCCCACATTACTATGTGTACTGTGTTCCTTAACCAACACATTGACAGGTGCAGACCATGGCTCTAAAAAGAAGAGATAAATGATTCTCTGTCCACTGATAGATGTCATGTAATGCATGAAAGGCGCAGACTGAATGTTTACCTAAAAACATAGCAAAACTATTGAAACCTTGCCCACAACACTGTGTGTACTGTGTTCCTTAAGCAACACATTGACAGGTGCAGACCATGGCTCTAAAAAGAAGAGATAAATAAATGATTCTCTGTCCACTGATAGATGTCATGTAATGAGTGAAAGGCGCAGACTGAATGTTTACCTAAAAACATAGCAAAACTATTGAAACCTTGCCCACAACACTGTGTGTACTGTGTTCCTTAACCAACACATTGACAGGTGCAGACCATGGCTCTAAAAAGAAGAGATAAATAAATGATTCTCTGTCCACTGATAGATGTCATGTAATGAGTGAAAGGCGGAGACTGAATGTTTACCTAAAAACATAGCAAAACTATTGAAACCTTGCCCACAACACTGTGTGTACTGTGTTCCTTAACCAACACATTGACAGGTGCAGACCATGGCTCTAAAAAGAAGAGATAAATAAATGATTCTGTCCACTGATAGATGTCATGTAATGCGCGAAAGGCGCAGACTGAATGTTTACATAAAAACATAGCAAAACTATTGAAACCTTGCCTGCAAAGGAATAGTTAATACAACTGGTTCAGTTAAGACCAAGAACTGGCTAAATGTTCTACAGTTTTTCTACTTAATCTCTTCGCATTACGCTCTTTCTCAAGCTGTTGTATATTTTTCCTCATTAATCTCATTGCATTTTTCTCCTTTTCCAATTGTTCTATATTTTTTCTATTTAATTGCTTTGAATATTTTTCCTTCTCCAGTTGTGAGATACTTTGCACCTTTATTTGTTTTTTCTTAACTCTGATTGACGATAATATTGGCCTTTCTGTTTCATATATTGTTATGTATATTCCCTCTTACGAACAATAACATCTGCTTTTACATGCCTCTTTTTTTATTTCATCAAGCTCAATTTGCCTGTGTAATTCTTTACTTAACATATCATATTGAAGAGATGAACTAACATCAGCCTTATTTTGAACCTGATCTTTCACATCAGTAGATAAATCTTGCCAACTAAGTATGTGACATTGTTCTTGAATGTAATTGGTGGATTTATTTATTTTGATCAACTGATAAAATAACATGTAAGCCTGTTCATTTAAAACTTTTTCGATATCAATAAGTGTTACGCTATCATCATTGAATTTATACCAGATATTATCAGATGCTTTAATACAGGCATAGTAATGTAATGGATTAGATTGATGTACTATTACACCATATTTAAATAAATTTATTAGACATATTTAAATTTATTGAATAACTGACAGGTGTCTCTATTTTATTTTTTACAATGTCATAAACTTCATTGCAATGACTACACGAATATTCATGTATTGTTTCTTCACTAAAATAATCATTAAGGCAATGTGAAAATCTTTCGAGTAGCATACCGGAAATCAAATTAGCATAACACTGAGTTTGATCTTTGTCATGATCTATATTTTTCTTGGTCTATTTTTCCCACCATAGACAACCATAAATTGCGTTTTCACAGTCACTCAAGTCTGTTTCAAAGACTGTCGTTGTACCAGAGATAACCAGGACATTGAAACGTTTTTTGAAACGTTCGTCATGAAAATTATGTGCATCTAAACTGTGTTTTTTTGTGTCGTTTTTTTTTGGAAGTCTCTCAAATTTGTTTTTGACTTTTGTCATCCATTCCGCCACCAGAGTGAAGTACATTCCCCAGGAATATTCACTGATATTTTCTCTCTGAAACACAAAGGCGATAACTTGATAAGACTTGATTTCCAAAGACGCAGATTGTTTGGATCGAATGATTTCTTTTGTCTCAAGCTTGTTGTATGCCTAGAAAAATAGCAACGTTGTTATTTTGATGAATATATAGAACATATTCTATTCAAATAAAAGATTTTGATATGCCAATCGAACAACTCCGTACTGGAACAACTGCTGTAGTTCTCTAGTCTCGGAAATTTGACAATGGCACTAGCCCAAAATGAACTTCCTGTTCAACGCATCTATAATGTAATCGATAATGTTCACGTCACCGTTTGTAAAAACACGCTTTGGAACTTGACAACATTCACTCTCAGACAACTAAGCAATGAATGGAAATATCAGTTAAACAATCCGGGCATAGTCAACATGGGACTCTGGATAACAGGTAGGACCTGAAGATAGCTTCAACATACAGTATCAACGAACAGAAATCACATTACAATATTATGACTCTGAATAATCAATATTTATGCTGGAAACAAAGTACAAAGTGTAGTCAAGTCAGTAAGCAAAAGATAGTGTAGACCCGATGGTATACATGAACATGTTACTACGAAATAAATGTCAGTGAATAATTTAAAAAACAAACAAAAAAACTTGCAAGTGACAGTTGCTTTTAAATCTCATTTATAAGGATTTCTGCATGAAGTTACATGTTATCATTATAGTGAGGAAAAATAATACTTTCTTTTGTCCAGGCTGTATAATGGATTCTATAATCATGGGTATTTTTGTAAAGTGTATTGTATTACCGGTGAAATATGCACACCATTAAAATGATTAAAACCTCAAATGCAACAGTAGTACACATATAAAGTAAACAAATTTTTCGAGAGTGACTTTGGATTACCGGTAGTTCAAATTTTGCCAACATGATGTGACATTATATATAATTGGTGGTGAGAATTGCAAAGCCAGTTTATAAAATAAAACAAATATTTTCGTAACTAACACTAACCGTGAAATACACCCATCATTGTCGCTGATGGAATATTTATATTGCAATCGAAGTACATGTAAGCAAAAGATAAATAAATTTAAAACCGATCGGGTAAAAATTACTTGAGTTATCACACCCACAAAAGAAAACCAATCAGTAGTTGTCTCTCATTAAATATGCAAGCAAAATGCACCAATATCGAACTTGGCCATCTTTGCATGTTTGTTTATAATATATATAAATTTGACACTGATCATGTGAAAATTAATTGAGTTATCGTGCTCA